GCCCAGTTCTCGGCCACAAAAGAGTGCACGCGATTCCTCAGAATAAACAACGCTTTATTACCATTTTTTGTTGTTAAATCACTTATAAGGCTTCTGTTTTGATATTTCGATCACAAATTATCCCTAAAGAGCTTTGTTTCATGTTAGAGAAGAAAGTTTTTTGCACACCTAGTTTTTCTCTTAAGTGCAGTCAAGCGAGGCTAAAAAAGAGTTGGGTATTTAAAACGGGGTTAAGTCAGAGCTCATAGTTTTCAGCATGCCACCCCATTACAGCTTTATTTTTACAACTGACTTGACACGAATACTCCACACTTGAAAACTATGAGCGCTTTTAGTGTTGAAGGCGAGCAGGGTGGCCGAGAATAGACAAATACGCAAAAGTACTAAGGAAATATTGAGGAGTGAATTTAGGTCAAAGAATTAAACAGGCAAGGAAAAGTTTATATTTGACAGATAGCTTAATCACTCTACATCCTTTATGCCAAGAATTGGCTCATTTGGACTCTCTAGACGTACAAAATATAAACTTGAATTAAACCATGTAATTCGAGTAGCCGTAAACAAACACGTTTTCGGGGAAACCATATTCACCTACCTTCGCGTCACCTCTATGTGCTCACAGAAAAACTCGGCAGGATGAAACAAAACTCGGCAGAACGGAAGACAAGGAATCAAGCTACCTTTGGAAACAGTTGCTTTTTATTCAGATTCATCTGTGGCGCGAAAAATAAACACTGAACGAAAAGTGGCCGAGAACTGGGCCCCACACTGTACAACCACAGAGAATTTTCGAACAAAGTGGTTTCAGCGTTGCAAGACGCTGAGCACAGGAGCGCTGTACCTTTCAAAGCAATTTTTACTTGCCCATTTGATCGCTTTCACTACAAACCACGAGCACCTTTGACTGTGACGGATCGATCTGTTCAATGAACTTACTACGAATACGTACATATTGGCATGGTCTTCTTCCACTGCTGTTANCTTTATCACTCTACGTTCTTTATGCCAAGAATTGGCTCATTTGGGCTTTCTAGACGGACAAAATATAAACTTGAATTAAACCATGTAATTCAAGTAGCCGTAAACAAACACGTTTTCGGGGAAACCAAATTCACCTACCTTCGCGTCACCTCGATGTGCTCACAGAAAAACTCGGCAGGATGAAACAAAACTCTGCAGAACGGAAGACAAGGAATCAAGCTACCTTTGGAAACAATTGCTTTTTATTCAGATTCATTTGTGACGCGAAAAATAAACGCTGAACAAAAAGTGGCCGAGAACTGGGCCCCACACTGTATATGCTGAGGTTCCAATATGTATTTCGAGAATTCCACCAACAGGAAAGACCTTATGGCTTTTGCCGAACTCAGTGAGGGCCTGGAGTAGTTAACCTTAGATACGCCAGCTTTTTAGACAGGGGTGGCCGACAATTGCCAGAGCAAATTATTTTCTCACACTTCACGCTACTCTGAAAACACACATGAAATAAATGTTGAATTCTACCTTTATGTTTCCATCCTAGCCATCCAAAACAGACAAACTCTTGAAAAGCGAAGGTTAATCTTGTTCCATAATCCAAAATAAACAATGGGAAGCAAAATATTTAGTGTCAGTTGAGTCTCAATTGCCACGCTCAAGATCAATGGATGTGTTGTAGTCACTCCACAATGCAGCACAATTAATAGTAGATTTTATCTTTTACCAACATGCCGAAGGAAATTAATCAGTTATCAATAGATGTTTAGGTCCTGTTGATTCCATTTCCAAGATTTTCTTATCTTGTTTTGTTCTGAGGGCATGTAACATTTCGGGAAAAGAACTACATAACAAAGTGGCCGCCATATTTTGGTCTTCTTTGCAAATGGAGACGCTCAAACTCAGGCGACTGTCGGCTTCACGACTTCAAACACGAAGGCTTGGCAAAGATAACAAATAGTTCAACAGTACAGCAGTTTCTATTGCTTGCTATTTCTATTCAAATTGCTCATTATATAAATGGGCCAATTGAATCGGCCCTGGCATCTAGGAGTGTACTCATGGGCCAATCTGATCGGCCCCTGGCACATCTAGGGTCAATAGAACAGGATATTTTGAATCATCAGTTTTGTGTTAATGCATGGTCAACCAAGGGAAAAAAAATCAGGTCATTTGTATACAATCAAAATAGAACGAAACTTTCACAAGTAAAATTTTTGGATAGAAATAAGGAGAGGGATGGCAAGCAAGAACTAAGGATAAGGATTAAAACGCAACAAGTTAGTTACTCACGTTTCTCTCCACCATTTTGGTTGGCTCCAGTCTCTTTGCAACACACAGTTCTAGACTCCAAGCCTCNGGGGGGGGGGGGGAGTGGGGATTTACTTTTGCTGGTGCATATCGGTCAACGCTTCTAAAAACGAAACATAGAAACAAAAGGAAGCTTTCAAATTCCATCAGATGCAAATGAGTGGCTCGGTATTCTAAATTCTAGCCGTGAGCATCTGGAAGATTTAATACTACACACTAAAATGTCAGGTATGATATTCGTTATCCAGTCAGTGTCAAATCCAGACTGTGGACTTCAGACTGGGGGTAACACGCAGACTGAGGATAAAATGAAGACTTCAGACTTTTTCACTGAATCATGGTTCCACTGTCATTATCAAAAGCTGATCATAAACAGTCAGGCTAACCTAACTTATAGTCAGGCTAACCAGAGCGCTATTCAGATTAACCAGAGCACAGACTTTCACTCCGATTAGCCTGAGTAACACCCAGATTAGAGTGTTAATGGTTAGCACCTTGATTTTGGAGGCAACATGATATATGCTTAGAAAGTCTACAGTCTGCATTTTATCCCTAGGGTGCAACAACAACAAACAACAAGAAAACTTTTTTCACCCCAGAGTTAGAAATTGCAATATCTGCTGTCTGTATTGTACAAATGACAATCAGTTTGCCTTTTACCCCTGTTCTGCAGTTTGCAGTTCACCGTCTTCATTTTAAACACTGAGATCGAGATCCTCACTGGTACACACATAGGGTCAAGGAAGCTATTCACATAAGACTTCACCCTAATAACATCAACAGGGATAGTGGATTTGAAATTCCTGAAGCATGGATGCCCATGATCAAAAAACACAACAACAGGAGAATGGTACAACAGCAGACCACTGAGGAAACAGCTACTCGCCTGAACAGTGGAACAATAGGAGGATCGAAATGCACCAATCACAGCCGACCTTTGTGATATAAATAACACTGTGCAATCAGTCGATCTTCGCCTGAAGAAGACTAGCAGTAAGCAGTCGAAATGTCATGATCTACGTCTCAAGTGACTACATCGTGAGACAAACGATAATACACTTTATTATTGGTGTGTTGTTTGAAATAATGACACCTGCTGGCAGATTTGTTTTGTTGAATGACAATGACATAAAAATCATTACATCATTGTTACAATTATTGTTTTGAAACAGGTATGACTGAGAAAACCCAAAACCACGAAAATGGCTGTAAAAGGTTTTCAGGAAATTTCTCAAAATGTGACTAGGACACTTTGTGCTTTGCCCTTGTTCATTACAGCTTTTATCCAAAGTATCAAGCACTATCTACGAAAATGTGGCTATGGATTCTCTGCAAATTTGAGCACTAAAAACTAGTTCAGAATTATTTTGCTTGATTGCACCTACTATGTTATAGTGTACTTATTGAGCCAATATTTATAGAAACCCAGTATTTGCAAATCTCCATGACGTATCTTTATTCCAGGTCGTCCATAGAATGAAAAAGAACATTACACATTAGTTCAAAGATATGAATTTTACATTGTCGTGGCAAGAGCAGTATCTTAATAATTTGTTTGTGTTGCTGTGCTCTCTCGTGAGATATTGTTCTTCCCACTTGAACATAAAATTAATTTCTTTCTGCCACCATTTAACATCCTTTTTATACATGTATATGTTTAAAGTCTGGTATCTGCAGTCTGCATTATACCCTTAGTCTTCCATTTTACCCCTGGTTTACAGTTCACAGTCTGTAATTTACACTGACTGATTTGTTATCCAAGCTTTCTATTTTCCAAAAATCTAATTTACAGTAACTGAGGTTTGCATCATACATGTACATGCTCAGGAGATCTCAGAGGACTACAACTAACCAGTTTAGTCAGTCTTTGTAAAATATCCTTTAACCATTATGTAAGAAAGTGTGTGCTGATGCTGTACACTGTACATCTCTAACGTAATAGGAACACAGAACTACGTTTAGCAGGAGCTACTGAAATAATGATGGTGTGAACAAAGATAATTAATTTTCCTTTTCCTTTCTCATATTGTTTTGTACTAAATGAATAAGCAGGCTTGTGAAAAGCATCTCAGTATGAAAATAAGCTCAAGTAATAATCTTACCGAAGCAATATATGAAAGATAAAAAGAGCACCCATAAGAATAACATTGAATGGGGCCTATGACCTACATGTATCCTCTCCCTGGCAGTAACTTCTCCAAAGAATATGAGTGAGTGAAAGATCTTTTCTCTGAATTTGCAATTATTCCCAGTAAATCTTGTGGACTCCACTGTTTCTCAGTTTCTGACCTCAGTCAACTTGCAATTTACACAGTGCTGTCCAATAGTCTACTGGCTAGTAGATTTTGCAGTCGATTTGGTCACTCGTGGTGAAGTTTCTTTGGAAAATGTTTGAGGAACTACATGTATTCAAATAACAGACACCTTTGAAATTTGCCATAAGCATCAGCAGCAGTATTTTAGTAGTAACAGTATTCATACATGTATTAGTAGAAATAGAAGTACTAGTGGAAGCACTAGCAGAAGTAGAAGTGGTAGTAGTAGCAGTTGCACTAGTTGTAGTAAATGGTGTACAAGTTACATGTACATCTAGGCCAACAACTGTGTATGTGTTTATGTCTAAATCATGCTGTTGTTTCATAATCTTTTGCTTCCTTTGTTGTCTCTCAGTGTATTAAATCACTAACAAATTTATTTTGAAATAATCTGACAGCAACTGATGTTAGATTCCCCAGCCTTGATAGATCTGGGACATGGTACGGTGCGTTATCGACTCCCAGATGAAAAAAGAGAACAAGAAAACACAAAAGTGAAAACTGGATACTTCTATCACCCCCGCCTTGATGACTTCAGTGAAGGTAAATAAATCGGTTACAGTGACTGAGTGTATGTCAAACAGTAGATTTGACCTTTTCTGAATTTTTATTTGATGAGCCTAATGATGGTATTTTGCCTGTTCTCGAAAGATGCATTTTGTAAGACTACCTCAACATCTATTTTGTCTGAATATAGATGCTGAAGTTCGGCCAGAGGACAGTTTTAAATTCCACTATGTGTTCAAAGGACCAAAGAAGGATGGTAAAGTAAAGCGATTGTACTATGTCTATGGAACAAGTTTATCTGCTAAAGATGAAGGAATAAAACAAGAACCATACAGACCAGTGGGAAAAGGTTACAATTGGCCAGAATCTTATAGGAAGGCAAATAACTTGTACTATGAGCTGACATTTGGAGATCAAGGTCAGAAGTTTATTCATGTTGATACTGATAAACGTACATTACAGTCCAAAAATATTGCACACACAATAAATTCTTTTTCTATCCACAAACCTGTAACTTCTCACAACTACTTGCAGGATGCTTGTGCTTGAGTCCATCAAGGTGCATGAACTTTTAAAATTCTTCAGGGTAATATTTTTACTTGGTGAAAATGTCATTTTCTGAGTATAGGTACATGTACGCGAAAGACATTGAATTACTCCTTTGTGAGTCATGGCCTTTTCCTCTTGAATCAGAACACTGACTATATTTTAGGGCACGAGAAAATGCATTCTTGGGGCTAGCATATTTAAGTTTGAAATTGCAATAATTTATTAAGTTTTATTTAGTAGACAAATTCTCAAATGATCAAAGCTTCAGATGATAGGAAACAAAAAGATGACTGCCAGTAAATAGTTAGTTGTGGTACAGCTATGCATTAATCAAAAAAGAGAGAATCAAAGTGGTCTTTGAGCAAAACTCATGAAGACAAAAGGTGATTGATTAAATTATGTCAGGAGCTCCCGACTAGTGGCTTCTTATTACGTATATAATTTTGTCTTTGATTTGTATGCATTGATTACGAGTTATGTAGTGGTTCTTTGTCAAAGTACAAAGAGACATTTGGATAAGAATTCATGACATATCATTGTGTGAACTTGATTTCACACACTGTGGGTAGGGTAACCCACCTTGCTGTAGTCAAAAACTAGCCCGCGTTTCTGTGCAATCTTATCAGGTCAGCCATCCTGGAGTGAACTTCCTCAAGGGGACATACTGTAAGCCATCAGTTAATTCCAGTACCAACAAGCATTTCTCCAAACTGAATGACTTGAACAAACAAAACAAATGGTTCCAAAAGGAAAGTATGAAGTTCTCAATCTACATGTAAGAAGCTCGGTGGAAAAAGGGTGTGAGGTATTTTTGGTCAAAAGTGAACTTTGTTGAAAACACTTTGCATGTAGTTTTCTTTAGGTGTGTTAAACAATGTCCCGTTTTTTTCCGCTGAAGTTTGCTTCATTTTCAAGATATTACATATATGCAAATAAAACACTCATCTTTTTCCTGGGAGTGTCTTTAGAAGTTTATTTGTTGAAGAGCAAACAGACAGACCGTTCATTATTAGTGTACGAAGTCAAAATCAAATCCCTCAGAATTTTAGCTGTCTTTCTTTAAAGTCAAAAGAATAACATATAGAGCAGAAATCTGGGAAACAGTTTGTGTATATCGGTAATGGTGACATGAAACACAACACTTGAAATGGATTGATTGCCAAATGAAATACCATTGAACAGAAAAGAGATGTGATACCTTTTTAAGTGTTGTTTTAAAGTACTGTAACTTACATGCAGTTGTGGTTGAGAGGCATCATAAGGCCTTGATAAACCTGTAAGTCATCAACACATTTTAAAGAAACAAAATGTGCTCTGAAATTTCCAGTGCAGATACAATCAATCCAGGCAGCAAAGTTCAAGAACATTTCTTGCCCAAGAAAAAAACCCTCTTGTAAGTTGTGGCTCATTTGTCAAGGTTTGGAAAGCGAAAACTGAACCATCTTTCCCTGTGTGTGAGTTGAAGAGACCCCTCTCAATATACATTGCAATCACACTCGGTGATCAAATCTGTGATCCAGGTTAGGTTGCATTGATTCTATTGTAAATCAGCATGATTTGTAGTGTTTCAAACTTCTGGGATGAGCAGACATGCAGATGTACATGTATGGAGACCCATATGCTACACAGAAGTGTTAACCTGTTAATCTGTCAGCCCTCGATTTGACTACCATAGTTTGACAAGCTAGTTTTAATGTTTACGAGCTGACTGAACATGGCGTAAGAGTCCTGTTTTTTTTTTTTGTTTTTTTTTTTTCACAGTGGATCTAACAAAAAAATTGGCTGTTTATTAGTAAAATCAACCCATGGTGACTGTTTCTAGTTACCTAAACAAACCGCAATGGAGACCCTAACCCTGCTGAATAAGTGGCCAGGTATTCTGGAGTTGCTTCAGCTTGTGTTTTCAAAGGTCTTTGCGGCTCAATGACTCTGCAAAATGCACACTTTATTTATATCTGCAAGCTCCTTATGTTGAAAGGTGGATTGTAAAGTATCAATAACTTGCCTTTTGACTCCTTTGAAACAACAGCCAAGAAATTTCAAGGCTGTCTTGAGCATGAATTTTTTTTATGCGTGTTACTCACAGCCATTTTTAAAACCTGTGGTTTTTGGTCGTGAAATGTCATGTGCAAATGTTATGTGACAGCTTATAAGAGAGGATCCTCATAACTACTTTCCTTACTGAGGTGAATGCGATTAAAAATTCATTAAGCTGACTTTGCTTGAAAAACTCTTCTGTGATTTGGACACAAACATTACTTTTTGTAGAAAAGGACTTTAACCTGAAGATTTGGTTCCTGGTTAGACTCAGTTGGTAAAGTGGGAGAGCAGTGGAAAGATGTTTCAGTTAGTCTGGCTTTTTCTTGTACATGTATTTGCCTACTTGAGCGAAGGCAGGTACTGTGCTAAGAGTACACGGGTGCCGGTACCCAGGTCCCAGCTTCTTAGAAAACCCCTGGTGCCGGCAGAGAACAAATTGTCACATTACTGGTACTTACTGCATATACGGCTTCAGTTACACAACATGTGTCGGAAAGTTTCTTAATGATGTGTAAGTTTTTAAGTGTAAGCCATAAAANTGGTTAAAACAACAAATTAATTTCCGGTGAGGTAATTAGCTTTGCCAAATATCTTTAAAGATAATAAGGTGTTGATTTCAGAGAGAGGAACTTTTCAGGGGAGTGCTTTTTATTTGGGTCGGTACATTTCGCTGACCCCTAGCACATGGACTAACAAGATGGACCTGGTACATGAACTACTTGAATGAACCACCAATGGACTACCCTAAATGTAAACCCCTAAAATTTCTAACCCGAAAGTTTAAGAATCAGTTTGTCTGCTCATGTTCCACTCTTCTAGGAACAATTTTTAAATGTCATCGTTTCTGCATGCATTGCGTGCCTTTTATTCTGGTTATGTTGTGATTTGTGTATGGCTTTACAATTTAAGAATTGGTTCATGCTTAGCGTGCTTATATCGAGTTATGGATGTATGGGGGAAGTTTGGAGAGCACGAAAGAGGCATAAGAGTAGTTTGAGGCGACAGCCGAGAGCAACTCTAGCTTCTTGAGAGCTCTCCAAACTTCCTAAGTGCATCCATAACTCAATATACACACAGCTAAAAGCATGAACCAATTCTTTTATAACATGGCGACAACAACCTGGGCGCTAAAACATGTTTTATTTGTGATTGACTAAAAAGTTCTCACAATGCACGGTGAAGAAAAACAAAGGTCATTAGGATCCTGACATGCCACAATCAGTTGAGCAACAGTTGAGCGAAAATGCTTAACCTGGTTTTTAAAATTGTCAAAGAAAAAATCGCTTCTTCGAATTAATTATAATGAAAATGTACACAGACAAAGTCAAAAATACTCGTTGAAAATGTAGACAAACAAAGTCAAAATACTTAAGTAAGCATCTTAGCTTGGCAAAAGTCAAAGGTTTGAAGTAGAGTTTGGATTGTTCAGAATAATAGACAAAAGGAACTTGCACTAAACTCGACGGAAATTTTGCGGCTAAATTGAAACTGCACACGTCATCTTATTTACGCACAGCCATGCACACATAGAGATTTCATTCGTGATGGCTCAATAGGAATTAGATAGGACTAGCGTGTGCTATGTTATAATGTCTGTTGATCCCTGTAGTGCTTTCATTCAGGTCTTGTCATGTCACCATCTGTTTTTGTTTTCATTCATTCAATTACAAGATGTTATCACAAAGAAATTTGTGCAGTCTGGACATTTTACAGTCCAGTCCGGACATCGTGGTTTTGACTTCTGAAAGCAAAAAAGTTCTTGTGGCCTGCAGGAGCTGGTGCAAGCATCCCACAAGAAAATGTAACTTTCTACTTGGTGCATCCAAGGTAGTTAATTTTCTTTGCAGAAAAAAGTAAGAAAATGAGGAACTGGAATCTTATAAAGAAGGAGCCCTTAAAGAAATTTATCAGGAATTGCTCATTATCTCTTCCAAGAAAGGTAGATCTTTAAAGGATTTACTCATACAGGCATATGAATGAGCCAGATGTTTTGTAATTATTCCAGGTGAGGAGGACTTTTCAGACACAGATAGCATGAAGACAGGAGTAGATTCTCCTGAATTGGTTGATTCTGTTCCAGATAAGGATAACTTGAGGTATAGTAGTCAACTTAAGATCAAAGTGCTTAATTCTTACTACTACAGTGTATACATGTAACATATGTTCAAAATGCAAAAACACTAGGAGAAGTGCTAGGAGTCACATTTTTATTTCATGCCATGGATGAAACAGCCAATCAGAATACTAGAAAGCTGTTGTACACTAGTCCTCGGAGACCTAGGGGCCGCTAGTCAGGACAAAGCAATATTTTCGGGTGAGCTATACTTTTGGATGAAAGTTTACTTCAAGAGCGGACAAGCCCCTGGGCTCTTATTCTTACGGAACCAGTTCCAGAAGTGTTTGAATTCCGGCCCGCTGATTGGCCAGAAAAATATTTTCAATCAGTGAGGAGGTCCAGTTGCCTTCTTTAAATTGGTTTTCCTCATCGATCGCAGTAGTTGCTTGGCCCGGGAAGATTCTCATGCAGAGTTTCAGAAAAAAAGATTCAATGAAGCCAAGGAAATCATAATCTGTAACATGGGCGCAAGGGAACAATACTCGTCAATTAAGTTTCATGGTGGATCTATTGAAGGTATGTAATAAATGTATATGGCTATAAGACCCTTCGCGGCACACACCTATCCAAAATTTACGGAAGTACTCCCCCCCCAGGGATCACAATAAACAGCAACATTATTTTTTGATAGAACCTCTTCCAGAACATGACCCTGAATTTCTCATCCATGGTCAATGACTCTGGGAGTTCATACAGCAAAGCAGATTCCCTCTTTCCATCCAATAAATCTTTATCACTCCATCTGCTTTTCCTTTTACCAGACATAGCTAATCGATGACAGCAATGATTATTCAATTGGTGATCAATGAGCCATCAGCTGATTACTCATTGAGTATTGCCAATACCCGATAAGTAATCAATGCTCCACAAACTTTAGTCATTGATTAATTATCGGGGGTCTTTGAATAGCGTAAACTCCAAAAAAAAAAAAAAACATTGCAACAAGTTTTGTGATTTCAAACTTTATTGACTATTTAAATAATCCCAACAACATCATTTCCTCCTGATGATGCCGATGATGTGCAGGATTCCTTGTCATGGCCTCGCTGTCTTCCATTGTTGAACCAAACTTTTACCATTCTTGAGTCAAGTTTATTCAGTTTTGCAAATTCTCCTATTGCACATGGTAAAGTATCTTGATTCCTTTCACAATGCTTCAAGCACCAATCTCTGGAGATCGCAGAATTTTGTCTGGGGATAATCAATGGCATCAATGAGTAACCAATGAATCAATGAGCAATTATGCTGCACAAAATACTCATTGATTAATATTTAATCAATGATGTTATTGATCATTGATTAGTTATGTCTGGCTTACGTACGGGTCAAATGCCATACTTCACATGAGCCGAACCCAATTCAATCAATTAGGCTTGTGAAGTTTGAGTCGACCCAAACTGTTGTTAGGTGCGGCTCATGTGAAGTACGGCATTTGACCCGGGCCTTGTATAACCAGCCTTATAAATTTCCAGTGACCTGGGGTACTTCACCTGGTCTTCAACAATATTGATATAAGAGCTGAAAAACAACTAACGGATTAGGAGGGAATTCATAAGCTTTAGGAATTTAAGAAATTCAATACTCTGTAGGCAACAGTTGGAAGATTAAACTCTTTCCGTAACCCATCAGTAATTGCCAAAAAACATCTCTTCTCACCACATTTTTCTCAATAATAAATCGTTGCTCCACTTTCAAGTCGACCACAGAAAACAAATACAAGATTTCTTTCAGGCCCTGTTGGAATTTATGCCCTACACGATATTGGTAATTAAAAAGTATTTTTGGTTTGGCACAAAAGCAGGAAGGTGCATACAGTGCAGCTGGCCAATCATTCCCACTTCCAGTTGGCGTAGTTGTGTGGTCCATGCAACAGAGATTCGCACATCGTAGAAATTTTTGAGGAAGTTAAACAAGTCATTCAATGATAGAGGAGAAATATAATAACTTGTGCACTCAACTAGCTTTGCACTCCACCAACAACAGTGTAGAAATTGTGTACATTAGCGATATAACTTTACGATATACCTTTGATAATTCCACCGTGAAAATTGATTAAAGACTATTGTTCCCTTGCGCCCATGTTACAGCTTGTGATTTCCTCGGCTTCGCTGGAATCTTCCCGGGCCAGAGCAACTACCACAATCAATGAGGAAAATCACTTTGTGTAAGAGGAGAACAGAGTTGCCTAGCTGGACCTCCTTGCTGATTGGCCAGAAAAATACTTTTCTGACCAATCAGGGGGACGGAATTCAAACACTTCTGGTACTGGTTCAGTAAGAATAAGTACCCAGCAGCTTGTCTGCTCTTGAAGTAAACTTTCGGCCAAAAATATCTCTTGCCCTAAAATATCGCATTGTTCCAACTAACAGCTCAGTGGGTCTCCGAGGATGTTGTACACTCGACAGTATTACCACCAACCTTTCCATTATGCACTGCATTGATTGTGATGATGACAAAATCAAACTTACTTGTCACTTGTATTTTCTTGGTATACATTAACTTGCCTAAAGGCTGAGAAAATATAAATCCCTTGTGGATCTTCCATGGGAAAGCATTGCATAACTAGTACTTATTGATCATAATTGAGGTGCTACTCTTCTGTGAATAGAGTACGTGCAAAACCGTCTTGTCGAAACAGTGTATCATGATTGCATCTGGGTTGTTGCAAGCAGCGATTGGATTGGTTGCTCATGGTAGCTTTAATCTGTTTGGTCTGAAATACAGTGATACATTCCCCATTCATTAACCCATTTACCCATCCAAACTGACTTGCCCACTTAGAGGTTTTTTTTTTTAACAAAAATAATAAATCATTAACTTTCAGGCCAAATTTCATAACCCTCTTTGTATTTTCTGGTACAGCATCTTCTTGTATTCTCAGTATTTCTTTTAATTTTATAAACACTGGCGAACGTGAGTTTATGCTGGGCATTTGTTTTTTTCTTGGATCATGCCTTATTCACTCAGTAGGAGTGATTATTCATTCGGTAGGAGTGAATAATGCTAATTAGCCAGAGATAATGAACCAATCAGATTGCTTGAAACACCAAGATCAAGACCAAGATTGCCTTCTTCCTTCTTGGCTTCAAGAAGGCAAGCAAGATCTTAGCGACCCACGCTCTGTTTGGGATTGGGTGATTTTCTGTGCAATCTTATCAGGTCAGCCATCCTGGAGTGAACTTCCTCAAGGGGACATACTGTAAGCCATCAGTTAATTCCAGTACCAACAAGCATTTCTCCAAACTGAATGACTTGAACAAACAAAACAAATGGTTCCAAAAGGAAAGTATGAAGTTCTCAATCTACATGTAAGAAGCTCGGTGGAAAAAGGGTGTGAGGTATTTTTGGTCAAAAGTGAACTTTGTTGAAAACACTTTGCATGTAGTTTTCTTTAGGTGTGTTAAACAATGTCCCGTTTTTTTCCGCTGAAGTTTGCTTCATTTTCAAGATATTACATATATGCAAATAAAACACTCATCTTTTTCCTGGGAGTGTCTTTAGAAGTTTATTTGTTGAAGAGCAAACAGACAGACCGTTCATTATTAGTGTACGAAGTCAAAATCAAATCCCTCAGAATTTTAGCTGTCTTTCTTTAAAGTCAAAAGAATAACATATAGAGCAGAAATCTGGGAAACAGTTTGTGTATATCGGTAATGGTGACATGAAACACAACACTTGAAATGGATTGATTGCCAAATGAAATACCATTGAACAGAAAAGAGATGTGATACCTTTTTAAGTGTTGTTTTAAAGTACTGTAACTTACATGCAGTTGTGGTTGAGAGGCATCATAAGGCCTTGATAAACCTGTAAGTCATCAACACATTTTAAAGAAACAAAATGTGCTCTGAAATTTCCAGTGCAGATACAATCAATCCAGGCAGCAAAGTTCAAGAACATTTCTTGCCCAAGAAAAAAACCCTCTTGTAAGTTGTGGCTCATTTGTCAAGGTTTGGAAAGCGAAAACTGAACCATCTTTCCCTGTGTGTGAGTTGAAGAGACCCCTCTCAATATACATTGCAATCACACTCGGTGATCAAATCTGTGATCCAGGTTAGGTTGCATTGATTCTATTGTAAATCAGCATGATTTGTAGTGTTTCAAACTTCTGGGATGAGCAGACATGCAGATGTACATGTATGGAGACCCATATGCTACACAGAAGTGTTAACCTGTTAATCTGTCAGCCCTCGATTTGACTACCATAGTTTGACAAGCTAGTTTTAATGTTTACGAGCTGACTGAACATGGCGTAAGAGTCCTGTTTTTTTTTTTTGTTTTTTTTTTTTCACAGTGGATCTAACAAAAAAATTGGCTGTTTATTAGTAAAATCAACCCATGGTGACTGTTTCTAGTTACCTAAACAAACCGCAATGGAGACCCTAACCCTGCTGAATAAGTGGCCAGGTATTCTGGAGTTGCTTCAGCTTGTGTTTTCAAAGGTCTTTGCGGCTCAATGACTCTGCAAAATGCACACTTTATTTATATCTGCAAGCTCCTTATGTTGAAAGGTGGATTGTAAAGTATCAATAACTTGCCTTTTGACTCCTTTGAAACAACAGCCAAGAAATTTCAAGGCTGTCTTGAGCATGAATTTTTTTTATGCGTGTTACTCACAGCCATTTTTAAAACCTGTGGTTTTTGGTCGTGAAATGTCATGTGCAAATGTTATGTGACAGCTTATAAGAGAGGATCCTCATAACTACTTTCCTTACTGAGGTGAATGCGATTAAAAATTCATTAAGCTGACTTTGCTTGAAAAACTCTTCTGTGATTTGGACACAAACATTACTTTTTGTAGAAAAGGACTTTAACCTGAAGATTTGGTTCCTGGTTAGACTCAGTTGGTAAAGTGGGAGAGCAGTGGAAAGATGTTTCAGTTAGTCTGGCTTTTTCTTGTACATGTATTTGCCTACTTGAGCGAAGGCAGGTACTGTGCTAAGAGTACACTGGTGCTGGTACCCAGGTCCCAGCTTCTTAGAAAACCTCTGGTGCCGGCAGAGAACAAATTGTCACATTACTGGTACTTACTGCATATACGGCTTCAGTTACACAACATGTGTCGGAAAGTTTCTTAATGATGTGTAAGTTTTTAAGTGTAAGCCATAAAAACTGAACCCTGTTATAGTCATATTTGGAGAGGTTTTTGTTCATGAAGAACAAGTTTACCACTGGTAGTAGGCAGATTTTGGTCATATGCTAAGCAACAAGTTGAGAATTTGTGAACAAAATAACTTAACAGACACACATAAGGCCTTTGGCATTTTGTTGGTTTATAATTATTTTCATGCATTTTGTTGCAGTAACTTTTATCACTTGGTTCTGAATTTATAGATAGTGGGATTGTGATCAATGTCAGAAATGAAGCAGACTGCAAAAATTAATGTGTGTATGGATGTCCCAGAGTCCAAGAGTGCCTAAATTGGAAACAGCTTGACAAATGAGCAAATTGTTTTGTTTTGGTGGCTTGCTTGTCAATTGTTGTGTAGCAAAAGTGGAAGAAACAACAAACATGTTGACATCTGATTGATCAAAATAATGGTCCATCCTCCTTGTCTTTTACACATTAAAAATCACCCAAACCTCCATCACTGCCATTCAAATAACCTAGGACACCCATTATGTTAATTCCTGTATAAAAGACAGAGAACAGATTTTGGTTTGTCACTGATGGATTTATTCGTTTTCTGTGGTTGCTGTTGTCTGGAGATCTCATTTGTGATTGTTTACAACACAGTGAACATATTTTAGGGTTTCACAATTTGACAAATTAACTCAAGAAGAAATTTTTCAACTTGTGCTGTGCAGCCATAGCCATGTTGACACAACAATTTCTTTTTTGTCAGCCAGGTGCAGACATGAGAATCCCAAGAAGTGTGTCAGAGGCCACTTTGATGACATTTTTTTTTAAGTGATGACGTATTGTGTGACGTCATCGCTTTATGCTGGCATGCATGCATTCCTTTGGATAGTGATTTCGCATAGTTTGTCGCGCTTATGTCCGTGTGCTTATGTCGCGTACTTTTTATTCCCTGTGGAAGCGAAATACACTCTGGGAGTTCCTTTGCTACTTTCCTTTGCTGTTTGTAGGTTCAGCAGAGTGCTTTTAATTGGAGCT